TCTGAAAATTTAAGTTAAAAATAGATTAAATTCGAGTAAAACATTAAGAATATAATAAGTGTTATATAAAGAGTAATATAAAGGATATACGAAAGCAAAAGAATATATAAATCTCTATAAGTTTTGTATGAGAATTGAATTCTAAATGATTTGAGCAAAATGTCTAATGTCTGGGAAAAGAGCCGCCAAAAAATCAATATTTTTCGGGCAACACATTAATACCATTTAGAAAAATATTATATAATATGCCATTCATTTTATATGACTTATGAGCGAATTATTTATAATAATATGAATTAAAGAATATTCTCTTTATATAAGATGAGTAATTAAAAAACAAAAACTTAAGTCAATTCCGTGAATATAATCTATTTAATTATATTTAAGTAAATGGTCTCATATTTTCATATTATTATTTCACATGCTTTTTAATATTAAATTATGTTTATTCAGTAATTTCTATTGCATGTTATCATAATAATAGTAATGTCTTTCTTATTTCTACTGTAATTTTATTTTTATATTATTCATTCAAATTCTGATCATTAACTCCAAAGTGTATATTATATTGTATTATAAACCGAAATCAATTTCAAAAGCGATGGACAAAATCTCTTTGATGTTTAGATGTGGGGAAAAGTTGTAAAACATGAATACCAGTCGCCAAATGTTTGACTCAATTCTGTTATCAAAACACTGTATTTTCAAGAATTCAAGAATTTGTGTCATAAAAATGTGAGAATAAATTTAATTTTTCCGCTGATTTACACTTTGAGAATGCTTTATGTTTTGAATTTACTGTACATAAAAAAGTCACTCATAATTCTTCACATAATTCAAAATTCATGGAAAACTACTCTTATATTTATATACAAATGTATAGATTAACGCATTTATTATTCTGATTGCTATCACAAGCTTTGCGAATAATTACTTATTCTTTAAGAAAACAAAACAAAAAGTAATACCAAAACTAGAAACTACTATAAAGAGTGAGATGTGGAAAAATCATTTAAATTATTGTTTGTTATTCTGAGCGAAACGAAAAAATGTCAAAACAGATAAAAGAGATGAGAAAAACAAATAAAAATAATATAATAATAATAAGAGTCGTAATAGAGATTGGATGGGAGAAGGAGTGAGAGATTGTGAGGCAAAGGGATGGGAAGGGATGAGACGTAATGTGAATGTTAATTGTGAGATGACTTACGGCGTGACTCCTTCGACATCAAAGTAAGCGAAAGTGATGTAAACTTTTTGCGATGCGTTTCCATAGAAAAAATAATGACATTCAGTGTCGCGCGGATAGAGACCTATTAGGGATGGTTTGGGTCGTTGAAGGGGTCGGTCCGTCACAAACGGCACGGGAGGAGAGAGAGATTCAATTATAACTTTAAATATACATTTATATAAAAATAATATTAAAACAGTTTATCAAAAAAATATGTTTGTATTTGTTTTGGGGCTCAAACTCTCGACTCAATGCACACATACCGGGATAGTTAGGCGAAGTAAACGAGCCGTTAGTCCTTTCGGTGCTATTGAAGACAAATCCGCAAACTATTGAGCGAATGACAAATGCAGTCAATGTATTATGAAATTGAAAACAAGATTTATTGATAAAAATAAATTTTGATATAAAAATACGGTATTTATTCACTTCAATCATACACTCTCTGTATTTTTGCGGCTCAAACCCGAGTGAATGCATACACAGTATTTGAAATCAAAATATATATTATTAAAGCGAACAGAAATTATTTGAATACCTGATTGCGAGTCTTGTTTTCCAGTACTTATACCGAAATCTGTAATAATAAACATATTTTACATTACATTAGAGAATAAAATACTAACAGTAATGCTATAAATCATTTGTAGAGAAAAAACTTTAATTCAAAGAGTAATGGATAGCATAAAAAGAAATGCATATAAATATAAATAATAAACATATTTTACATTACATTAGAGAATAAAATACTAACAGTAATGCTATAAATCATTTGTAGAGAAAAAACTTTAATTCAAAGAGTAATGGATAGCATAAAAAGAAATGCATATAAATATATATCTATTCATGTTTTTTAGGGATTCGCCAAAAATACTGTTTATTAATACTAACGCTTAATAAAAGAAAAGGAAAGTTTTACGCATATTATTATGTATATTATATTTATGGTATGGGGTTTAGGTTAGGGTTGATGAATGGCTTTAGCATATAATTTATATAATTTAATGGATAAATTTAGAGCTGATTTTCACTAAATATGTTTAGTAAATATATATAACACACTAATATACATGTATGTATATTATCGTCAATATTATGGCCAAAATAATAAATATTCTGCTCTGTTATCGAGAAGTAAAAAATAAAATCCTAAATAAAACTCCCGAAAAAAAACTTTCGACTCTAAACTAAATGATAATTAGGTTTGCATTTAATTTGTAATACAATTAAATTGATTTGCGTATTTTTATTTAAGAATCACGGAAAAGCACAAAATTAAATAACATTATAGCTAATGAGAAAGCCTAACACGGCATTTATGAGCCTAGCCTCTTCTGAACTTTAATTCTGAAGAAAAGGCTTTCTCTACCGAGTTTTTGATTAATGGAAACATCGATTGAATGAGGAATTAGGATAAAAACGAAGAGACGATATATCCATTGCATACAAATATTTTCGTAATGAATACGATATTTATTTTTTAGTGTACACTAACTATACAAATGCCTTTTGAACACAGAAGTAATGGTTTTTCATGTCATATACAATATAACACATGGATTCTGTGTTTGCAAATAGTGTCTAAAAAACGCTAACAAAACAGTACTGATGTTTTTCTTTAACCATTTAATCGTGTAATTTATTTTAATTACTCAATAATACATATTAAAATAATATGCAATTAATGGTAAACAATTAAATTGTTAAGTGACATAAACACAAGTGCTGTCGTTATTATACCGTTTACACCGGTTACTATCCTTCAAATGTAATTAATAATAATCTGTTTGTGTTTATTTAAAATAAATCTAACCATAATCTTTGATTGGTTTAGTTTTTATTAAATAATATTACTATTAAGACAACAGAGGTTTGGAATTTAAGGAATTTGAGAATATATTAAATTTTTATACAATATTTATACTTTAATAAATTGTTTTTTAATTTGGTATAAAATATTTTGATATAAATCATGACAAAATTACGTTAAATTAATATCAAAATATGAGTGTATCAAAAGATTAGACACAAATCCAATACATTTACTCCAGTATACAGTATATAATTTGCAAAACATGGTAAAACGTGAGCGCACAAAGAGTCTAAACACTTCCCCTAAATCAATGTCAGGACAAGTAATTCCTGAGATTTTTTCAAACGGATTGTCCGATAGTTTTTCGGTTACAAAACCATAAGAGCTCTTAAATCACATCTCAATTGGTATCCATTAAACTAAGATTTATAGCATTGCACTGTATTATTGGCACATAATCTATGTTTAGTAATCAAATCAACATAAATCTCAATAATCCGACTGTTTATTAATCAAATATAATTTTATACATAAAATAATTTTATTATACGTTAATTACCATTTGTTAATTTAACAATTCACTGTATTTGTGTTCACGACAGCAATAATATGGCAAATGTGGCCAATGATAGGAAGTTTACATTAATTATTATTAGACAAACAATTTATTTAAAACAAATCTAACCAGAATCTTTGATTGGTTTAGTTTTTATTAAATAATATTACTATTAAGACAACAGAGGTTTGGAATTTAAGGAATTTGAAAATATATTTAATTTTTATACGATATTTATACTTTAATAAATTGTTTTTAATTAATCTAATTTTATTTATTAATCTAGGAATAAATATCATAAATATTTTGATATATATCATGACAAAATTACGTTAAATTAATATCAAAATATGAGTGTATCAAAAGATTAGACACAAATCCAATACATTTATTCCAGAATACTGTATATAATTTGCAAAACATGGTAAAACGTGAGCGCACACAGAGTCTAAACACTTCCCCTAAATCAATGTCAGGACAAGTAATTCCTGAGATTTTTTCAAACGGATTGTCCGATAGTTTTTCGGTTACAAAACCATAAGAGCTATTAAATCACATCTCAATTGTTATCCATTAAACTAAGATTTATAGCATTGCACTGTATTATTGGCACATAATCTATGTTTAGTAATCAAATCAACATAAATCTCAATAATCCGACTGTTTATTAATCAAATATTATTTGATTTATAAATAAATATTTGAAAATCTAAAATAGGTATCAAAAACTACAACCAATTTATGACAAACATTATGCTGAATGTCATTAAATGTTTTCAAGAAGTGATTTTTGGCAAATATTTATTTTCAAAAATACAGTGCAATGCAAACAATTGAAACATTAAATTCGTGCACAAAATGTGATTCTTATTTGATATCAAACACGGAATCATATGATATAAAGATGAGAATCCAATACTGAAAACATATATACTGTAGTCGTTATCGTAAACCGTTAAACATTTATACAGTTATAAAAGTGATGCAAAATTAAAGCCATTTGTTGTATACAATCATTAAAGCGATTGATATGAATCGCCGCTCATAAAGAAGGTTAATATTAGTGGAAAACACCTATAAATGAGGCTAAAAATGTGATGAACCGCTCGTATAAGTCACCAAAATTATGATTTATTAGCCATCAAAACAATATAATGGTAAAAATGTGAGGCATTAATCAGAATATTAAATAATGTTTAATAATTTGAATGTGAACTTTATAATTATATTTTTGGCAAAAAGTAGAAATGCTTTCACAAAAGTAAATAAATTATTTGAGAAAATATCTAATTAGTTTAAAAAATTAAAGTCATTAATTTTATAAATACAAAATTTTTATCACAATTTCATTATTTTTATTCACAGAATATTATGTGGAAATTAATTAATAGCATATAAAAATCCTATTGTTTTTATGTAATTCACTCTTTGACCTAATTATGGATTGATTACAATTGAATTTATTACTAAACATCTCATTGGCTTTGGGTTTATGTATTAATTTAATAGCTTTAGGGGTAAAGAATTGCAATGAAAATAATATTCTGCTTATATTGTTAATGAGATTCTGTAAATGTTTTTTAGACTTAACTGTTATTCTCTCTCTCTCTCTCTCTCTCTCTCTCTCTCTCGCACTCACTCTCACTAATGTTGTCATACAATTTCCACTTCTGTAAGAAAAGTAATGCTAACATTCAATTTAATATAAATTTTGGCCATAAATGCAGTGAATTCTTCTCATCTTTTATACAGTATTTTATTTTTATATTTTCGTTTATAATCACAGCATTTGAATGATAAAAGTCTTTTCCATTTTTGCGTTTATGAATAGACGCCCAAAGCTTTTAAATATAACTCCAATATAAAAAAATGCCAAATATTTCCTCTCTAAGTATCTACTATTTTATATTCGTATTCGGCTTTAACTTAATAGCAAAATGTCTAGAATTATCATTACTTATATGCTTTTTTGCTTCTTCTTTCCTATTCTGTCATTTGACTTTTATTTAACATATTTTTCTAATTCTGTAAATATTTTTGTTAATATTATTTGCAAGGCTTTCATATGTAATTATTAATGATTTTTTAAATTAAATTTTCAAAATTATTTTATAAAACAGCAAATGTGACTCAAATGATAAATAAATGTAATTCTGTTCAAAAATGCAATTATAATCTAATTCTTACAATAAATTTAATTCAATATATGGTTATGTTTTTAATCGTGCCATACATTTGAAGTAATAATACTGAACAGAGCATTAGGTTTTAAAATCTATATTTCAAATTTTGTCCAAAATATGAACTGAAAAATCCCAACAATATCAACGAAATGATGCGAAAACTATACTTTTAATACAATTTAATCCCAAGTATTAAAGAGAGTTTAGTTTAAGTCCTAAACAATCCTTTGTTGCAAAAGAAGAGAATAAAATAATTTTCTTCTAAAAATTGGGTTAAATTGATTTTCAATCTCTCTTTTTGTTTCTCCACAAGAATTAGACATTAGATAAACAGATATATTGGACTATAAAACACAATATACGCTACATTAGAGACGACTTCACTGTTTATGCAAATGAAAACTAATTAAATATTATTTGAAAAACAAGTGGTTATCAAAAGACGAGATAGAGATGAGAGCAAAACACTGGCGAACGGTATCTCTATATTAGAAATCGTGATTAAAATATACGTATGTTTTATGTCGACATTTGGAGACCAAAAATGTTAATTCAGTTTTTATTGTTTGTATTACACGTGAGAAGAAATGCAGATTTGGATGAATATATTTAATTAGTGGGCCATTGAAGACATGGAAACCAATTAATCTTGCCTTTCATTCACAATATAGCAAAAAACTTATAACAAAAAGTTATATAATTAACAAAAAAGGCTGAATAAAAGCGAATCTGTTTCACAACTAAAGTTGTTGTTTTTTATACTCGTTTTAACGGTAAAACTCTGGTTTCCGTATGTGTTATGTATAAACAGATAGCGTTCAGTGTTTAACTACAATGGCTTAACATAAAAGTTAAATTGAATTGAATTGCGAGCCATAATTGGTTTTGTTGTAAAAACAACACAACAACCACTACGGAGTCGGTTGTGTTGCAAACGTCTCATATATTTTCCCTTAATTTTTTCAAATGTTATTTAAGTTTGTGTTCTGTTTATGGGGTTAAGACATGAGCGAAAAAGAATTGCCTTAATTTCATGTGTAATGTGTTGCCAGACTTCAAGAGTGATTAAACTGCACATGAAATTCATGGATAGTTAGAGTCGTAAAAAGTTTTTCTTACAATTGGTGTATAGAATAACAGAAAAGGAAGAGAGAGAGAGAGAGAGAGAGAGAGAGAGAGAGAGAGAGTTGCAGTTTTGTCTTCATTTGGTTGTGGTGTTGGCCATTGTGTGGAAAGGGCTCATGTTCAATTTAGCGCTGGATATGCGGCGGAAATGCATTGAAATTTAGGCTTTAAATTAAAAATAGTATCGGAATAAGTATATGTAATGAAGCGATAAGAGAGAGAGAGAGAGAGAGAGAGAGTACTTGTGATAAAATGTTATTCTCATAGTGTATGAGTATTTGGCATTTGGAAGATAACAGTTTTGTATGGTTTTTATATATAAAAGGATAGATAGTGAGTGAGAGCACCCAATGATGAGCAGAGGGCCACTACTACTCCACTACACAATCATTTTCCGTGTCACTAATGATAGAAAAGGCATCGAAGAGAGCCATCGATACAATTTTATATATAACTTGTATCAATACAAACACCATTGAAATTGAATCAACACTTAAAGCGATATTTACACAAAATATATCACAGAATGTATTCAAGAATTGCATTCAATAACAGAAAATATGAAATAAAATCCTATTTTATAGCAATAACTGAGAAATTATTTTCGTTTCATTTACTGTTATTTAGTGTGGAGTTTAAGTGGCGTTTAAATTACTCTCAATAAAGACATCAATTTTTATGTATAAATTTTGACATAATATAAGAGATATATTGTGTTCAGTAATGAGTGGATGACAACAAACAGACAAAAACAGTGAGAGAGTTGTGTCTATTGGTGTCTCGACCCGATTGTCTGCCTTCAGAGGCGTAAAGATTAGGTCCTAAACTGATGTTCACTAATGTCTGCCATTTCTGCAAATTATATTATATACAGAATATAACCACTTCTGAGCTCTGATAAGCAGTTCAGACATTTGTGAACGAAAAGTAGTGGTAGTAGTGATGGTCACACAGAGAACAGGACTTTGTTTTCAATCTATTATTCATTGGATTAATAATTTATATCCATATCTGCGCTGAAACTGATAGTAAAACTTTAGGATATTCATTGTCGACGACAACGGAATAGCAGTCAAACACATTAATGACCGCCTAATGGCTGAATACCAGCGCTGATGAGCCCTTTCCACACAATGGCCAACACCACAACCAAATGAAGACAAAACTGCAACTCTCTCTCTCTCTCTCTCTCGCTCTCTCTCGCTCTCTCTCTCTCTCTCTCTCTCTCTCTTATCGCTTCATTACATATACTTATTCCGATACTATTTTTAATTTAAAGCCTAAATTTGAATGCATTTCCGCCGCATATCCAGCGCAACTAATAGACACAACTCTCTCTCTCTCTCTCTCTCTTATCGCTTCATTACATATACTTATTCCGATACTATTTTTAATTTAAAGCCTAAATTTCAATGCATTTCCGCCGCATATCCAGCGCTAAATTGAACATAATTTTAATTTTGTTAAAAAGCCCATTGAATCCCCAAATCTTTATTATATGCAGTATATTGTGAACTCAATTATAATAAATAATGAATTATTAGTTTTGTTAACATTTTAATAAATCAATAGATGGATAGGAAATACCATTGTATTAGTTATGCTAAAAAAGTTATGGTATAAACAGAGAGAAAAGAGCCATAAATTATAGTAGAAGTTATCTCATCCTAAAAATGTCTTAATTATTATTCATTTGTGTCATTAAACATAATATTTATAGACAGCGTTTGATTATCGATAATACAAAGTACTGTTCCCTTCCATTAAATTAATTCCCATTTAATGGCAAACATATACTCTGTATATATCGAGAGAGTCTTTATGTATTAACCCATAAATTAGACATAAATTTCATAATATTTAGCCAACAAAACACGAATCGATGGCTAGAAATATAGACATATACTATAGTTACGGACAAAATAGGATATTTTGTTTGCAAGAAACAGAATATAAGGTAAATAAATCTAAATTTAAAGACCCAGAGATAAGATGAGTTTGATATGAGAGGGAGAGGGAGGGGGAGAGAGTGGAAGAGAGGATTGACTTACTTGTAACGAATCGATATATGGCTCTAAATCCCTTTACATAGTCCGTCGAATGCATACTCTTAAACTCGGCGCTAAGGGACGGTCCGTTTGACATCAATTGCGGCGGCAAATCATTACCGCAAAAATTATCCACTCTTTCCTTTTGGCCGTTGATTGTGATGAACACCATTACTATGTCCGCCGCATCGCAACTGTTATTACATACATAACACACAAATAATGGTTAATATCATTATATTATAATACGGAATATTAGTATTGTATAATATTTATCCAAATATTTATTGTCCATAATATAAATATACAGAATATTCATAACAGAATCCATAATTTAGAGATTCTTTGTTAACAATTTTCATTGTTATGCTATAAACAGAATATAAGTTAGAGCTCTAATAATGTTTGGAAAGTACTATACAATAAAATAATGGTATTCTTCTCTGAGGACATGCAAAACATTATTATTTCACTCTTTAAATAAAAGAGACTTTATTTTTGGGGCTTTTTATATGGCTTTCAATACAATTTCTGTTCGTTTTCCTCAACGGAAAAATATTATACAAAAGACTTGTGTATAACTCGTATGCAAATTATACGGCGTTTTAATGTTTCACTAAATAATAGTCTTAATACGCTTTCGATTATCTCTTTTCCTATTCTTTCACTTAATTTTTTTCTTTTTCTTCTTTCTCGTTATCATCAAAAATAATGTCATCTTTTGTTTAAACAATTGTTGGGAAAAACGCTACACTTTTCTATGCATACAAAATATATACATCAATACAACACAACTGTTCATACATTATGTCATTTTGTGAATTCAATTTTTATCTGTAATTATATTTATTCAAAAATGAATATAATTTTCCCATTCAATGATTGAATTGAATGTAATATATCTTATCATGTATTATATAACTCTACTTTTAACTCAATTTAGGTTTTAAATAAAATAATAGCTTTTTCAGTATATTAGACTCAAATTGAGTATAAACTCCAGAAACCATTAGAAATCCAAAGAAATATCGCATGAATTGTAGGATTTTAAACATTATATTAATGATAAGAAAATGCATTCCGTTTATTGACATAAATAAAACACATATTATTCTATTCTGTTATGAAAATTATATGGCAAACAAATATTAAAAACAAATTTAATAAATTTAAATACATGTCCATTAATTATATTTTGACACAAAAGCCTTAGAGTCGGTAATCCAAGCAATTTATCATATTATGAAAGGCATGTATTATAAAAAACACTCTATTTTTCACTCGTATTAAACGCTTATGTTTTAAACGTGTCTTTAAAAATATTGTATAATATGTTTCTGTTGTATAAAACTATCACAAATTTGTTTCAATTCACTGAATGTTTTGGGAAATTTATATACAAAATATACAGTACTATCGTTACCATAGAGTAAATGGGAAACTAAAACATATTTCTCGAGTAAACCATTTCGATATGTGATTACATTTTGTTTCCACAACTTTTCTCCGCAACTTTTTTGTGCCCAAAAACCCATAATTTTAAGATTGAATTCTGGGCTAAAGTTACGTGAAATTCTGTTTATTTAATATAACGTCAAGAATTTGTGTGCGTGTATATAATGGGCGACTATTAGGGAATGCAATGGCAAGTAGTGGTAGTAATAGTAGTTATATCATAAGTATATTTGACTATTTGAAGGGACACTTACTCTCTACTGGTGTCGTCGGGTCTGTAGAGGTCGAAATCGGTGAACAGGATTTGGACCCTTTCCTTTCCCTGACCATTGAAATGATATTTGCAGTGAACGTTAGCCGGATATGGATCGGGAAAGTTGGGTGATGTGAAGGTGCCATTCCTTGATAAGCGACTGTCAAACGTCTGGTCACAGGAGACGGCTATTTGTGTGACAAACAAAACAGGCGATGAACAACACATATAACAATATAAATTATATAATGTATATACACTATAATGGATAATAATAACAATAATGGCAACAAATATATGGCGAGCGCCAAACAGGGAAATAAAATCAATTATATTCGCGATATAATTGGCCAATAAATCTAATTCCGCAAAATGACTATAATTACAGACATAAAAATTGTGATCAAAAGTGTGTGCACTGTATAAACGAGTGCTGAGCGACTAAACCATCGATATGTGAACATCTGCTGACATTAGCATTCGTGATGCAAAAGTGTCCGCAAAATTTTAAGCCCAAAATTATCTCAAAACTTAATAATATTATATTAATATCTCAATAGAGCAGTAATTTATATAATGGTTTTAAACCTCTATTAGAATTACGGTATAATAATAATTATTATATGTAATATAGTTTTTTGGGCTTGAATTTCAAGTATAAAATTAATTAATAACTATATAGTCATAAATAGTGCGATATTTATCATAAAGTATACAAAAATTTGTAATAAATTAACAAAAATTATGACCAAATATGAGATGAGGGGTTAATTTAGTGTTAATTAAAGCATATGTTAGGTATATGTGTGGCGGAAAAGTCAGTGTATATTACACTATAATGAGTGCCAAAGTTTTTAATGGAAAAACGTTTTATCGCAACAAATACTACACACAAAAGAGATTGGGATATAATTTGTGATTTTCTCGAACAAAATTGCGAATAAAAATAGCCATTAAAATGAAAAACAGGAATCACTTGAAAGGTCTGTAATTGAGAAGAAGAAAATCCAAAGAAATGAAATAAATGACTCTTACGTGCGATCGTCGGGTCGGCAGTGGATGTAAATTGTTTCAATTGCTTATAATTTGAAACATTACTTATTTGTTGGAAAGCAATGAAAATAAAAATGAAATGTAAGCCAGAGTTGGCCCACAAATAATACTTCATATCGATTGCGATCAATCAGACGGTTAGGGAAATGACGACAAGTTATACTCAAAAATTAGGCGAAGAAATTGTACGAATGAATTGGTTTTAATAAAAAAGCGACACAACAAAAATTGATATCAATTTTTCTTTTCCTTCTCTCTATTTCTCTCTCACTCTTCACTTTTCTTTATTTGTTAGTTTCACTCAATCGAGTCGTTTAAGTAAAAAGCAAAAACCGCAACAAAAACCGCGACTCAATTCCTTCAACAGTGAGAGAAAAGCTGACAGATATTTACAGAATATATATATAACAATAGTGTATATATTCTGTTGAAACGGTTTGGCGACCAGAATAATAGGCTTTAGAGTTCAAACACACAATTCGTTTCACAGAATAATAGGTAAAGTTTGTGCCGAAAGGAAAAGGCGAACGAAAAATCGAGGGCAACACTAACCGACACACCACTGGTTAACACAATTTACACGCAATCAACTGATGGATAACTTTTATATATATATATATTGTCGGACATCCAAATCGCCAAAACGCTTAGAATAGAGTTATCAGACAATTAGCGCTAAGAGTGTGTGTAATAATAATAACAATTCCTTTGCATAAATGATCACTATTTTAGCGCAACTACGAAAGCGCCCGACAGTGGCTGTGGTCTGACATTAAAAATTATATTTGCGGATGAGATCTCTTCGCTGCCAGAGATAGAGGCAGAAAACACACAATAAGTTATGAAAGTATTTTTCTCTCTCTCCACACGAGATATAACTATATGTAAAATAAGTGGAGAGAAGCGATCGAAAACAGTGGTGTGTTATATATGAGGTACAGTACGGTATGGTATGGTTTGTATACACTGTTTGGTACTGTAGTTGACTCTACATCTGGAGAGCGAGAGAAAGAGAGAGAGAGAGAGAGAGACGAGAGTACATCCAAAACACATGCGCCGTACGGCCCGACGACTACCGCCGATGTGTTCAACATATTTCAAGTTTAGCCAAATTCATGTCAATAGAGTTGCAAAACTCTCTAAAGAATGCTTATCTCATCGTTTCACAGAATAATAGGTAAAGTTTGTGCCGAAAGGAAAAGGCGAACGAAAAATCGAGGGCAACACTAACCGACACACCACTGGTTAACACAATTTACACGCAATCAACTGATGGATAACTTTTTATATATATATTGTCGGACATCCAAATCGCCAAAACGCTTACGAATAGAGTTATCAGACAATTAGCGCTAAGAGTGTGAGTAATAATAATAACAATTCCTTTGCATAAATGATCACTATTTGAGCGCAACTACGAAAGCGCCCCAACAGTGGCTGTGGTCTGACATTAAAAATTATATTTGCGGATGAGATCTCTTTGCTGCCAGAGATAGAGGCAGAAAACACACAATAAGTTATGAAAGTATTTTTCTCTCTCCACACGAGATATAACTATATATAAAATAAGTGGAGAGAAGCGATCGAAAACAGTGGTGTGTTATATATGAGGTACAGTACAGTATGGTATGGTTTGTATACACTGTTTGGTACTGTAGTTGACTCTACATCTGGAGAGCGAGAGAAAGACAGAGAGAGAGATACGAGAGTACATCCAAAACACATGCGCCGTACGGCCCGACGACTACCGCCGATGTGTTCAACATATTTCAAGTTTAGCCAAATTCATGTCAATAGAGTTGCAAAACTCTCTAAAGAATGCTTATCTCTGTTTGTATTTTGAGAATGACNACGAGAGTACATCCAAAACACATGCGCCGTACGGCCCGACGACTACCGCCGATGTGTTCAACATATTTCAAGTTTAGCCAAATTCATGTCAATAGAGTTGCAAAACTCTCTAAAGAATGCTTATCTCTGTTTGTATTTTGAGAATGACTTCACTCTATCTTCTCGTGGAGTGAATGAGTGGAGAGAAAAAACACACGAAGACTCAAATTCCCGATGGGTTTTGTCTAAGAATATATTTTTTTGTTTCCTTCAACTTTTATTGTAGTGTTTATGGCATATGAAGAAAATCCAAACGCAAAACCCTATTGTTTTGTATATGATGTGTGAGTTTGAGCACAGTTTATGAAAAGTAAAACTAAAACAAATACTAATCGAAATAGCATT